TAACCACCCCCCCACCCCTACGTTAACCCACCCCCTATCTCAAACAACTCCCCCATCCACCTTAACAACCCCCCCCCCACACCGTAGCCAACTCCCCCCCCCACGTTTCACCCCTCCACCAAAGTCCCCTCCCCCATCCCCCCCCCCCCTCTCCCCAGTTATCACACAGCTCACCCCAACCTCCGCCCTCACCTCGCCTCCATTACCCAGATGTCACTAATTGGGTCCCTGACTAGCCAAGGGAGACAATTAGATTCGCCCGCTTGATGCTACACTATCACGAAATATTCTCTCCCCTCTCTATACGATATAGGCCGAGCATCGATTACCCCGCACTGCACACTTGTGATTAAGGGGCCACTAATCGGTTTTTTGGCTGCATCCTTCTCAGTCAAGTCCCGTAACACACGGGGACATCGCACAAAAGGGAAATTACTCCTGCGCAAAAAAAAAATGGTGTCTTGTAGGACGTGGGGGTGTTCATCACGTGACCTAATATAATATAATAAAATAATCATCCAATCTAGCAGCTGTTTGTTCTTGTGTCATACACGTTGTTTTTTAATTTCGTAATTCACTTTACAGGGAGATAATAAGGTGAACGCTGAGAACAGACGAATATAAGCTTGTCAATTGGCTACTCGGCGACTAAAATCTGGCCAATAGGCTACTCGGCGAATATAACCTGGCTTTTGTCACTTTCTTTCTGTCCAAAAAAAAGCTGAAATATTTAGGGTAGTCTAATCTAGCTGGTCGTCACGTGGTACGATAGGGTAAGCGATAGGGTAAGCGAGAGGGTAAGCGATAGGGTAAGCGACAGGGTAAGCGATTGGGGTAAGCGAGAGGGTAAGGCGATAGGGTAAGCGATAGGGTAAGTGTTATGACAAGCGATAGGGTAAGAGATAGGGTAAGCGATATGGTAAGCGATAGGGTAAGCGTTTTTAAAATGTGGCTAAAACATCGTGATGTCATTGATCGGGACACCCTACTCCTCATCCCTCCCACGAACACCTTTATAACTGGTCAAAATACCCCCTCCCCAACAACACTTTGTAACGCTACGCTAATGTTAACATACATTTTAATATACGACATATACAACATATTTTCATGTTATAAATCGACCTCTGGAGAATTCACATTCGCTAATATGTCGATCGCCAAATGTGCCAAAATTGTATATTTGTATATATTTTGTGTGTGTGTGTAGACTTGAGTCGAAGTAGTTACATCTTACAAATGTCAATCGTCTCATCCGATTGTCCGTTTTATTTCGATACAATTATTTGAACACCGTTTATCATGTCTAATGCGTCCATTCGCAATTTGAGAATACTATTACTTAAGCCTAATTCTTCGCATATTCAACGAATTTTATAATTTCTCTTTATGTAACCTGATATAATAAAATGTGTACCGTTCTTTTATCCCCAGGCATAAAGGATTTAGAAAAGATTGTCCGGATGGAAAACTGACTTTAGAGGTAGGTCAAAATTTACTTCATAGTACAATCACATCACCTCAAACAAAATTAACGCTTTAAACGCAACTGATATAAAGTTTCCACGCTTGTATGTCCAATATGTTAAAATGTCCACGATTTTATGTCCAATATGTTAAAGCTACCGCGATTGTATGTCCATTATTTTAAAGTTTCCACGATTTTATATCCAATATGTTAAAATTTCCACGATTTTATGTCCCAATATGTTAAAATATCTACGATTGTATGTCCAATATGTTAAAGTTTCCACGACTGTATGTCCAATATGTTAAAATTTCCACGATTGTATGTCCAATATGTTAAAATATCCACGATTGTATGCCCAATATGTTAAAATTTCCACGAACGGTTAAAAAAACAAACAACCCACAACTTACATCAAACACAAATGTTGACTCGCAAGGGAGAGCATCCGACTTCTAATAAAATATCGTTGCCTAATAAGGGAGCTAACTCAATTTTTAGAGGCTCTTGCCCGCGGCACTTTGGTCAATTTAACATAATTAGCCCAATTAGCCCAATTAGTCCAAGGGCTTATGTGTACAGTGTCTCCTGCTCGCCTTCCCCTTAGTATTCACCAATAATAGTCTAGGGAAAGGAAGTTTACTCTTGTCTATTGGGAGATTTTTATTTCCCTATCAGAACTTAAAAAAAAATTAAGTTAAATTATTTGCATCGATTTGAACCCACGGAGGGTGATGTTCTCTTTGTAAGTTTAAAAATTAGTTTAGAATGTTTAAAGTTTCGTGGGTGTAAATACCTTTCTGGTAGTTTTTGACAAAGTGTATGTGTATGTAGCCGATGTTCAGACTTAGATTAAACTGTCGTATCTTTTTTTTTTATTCAAACGTAGATTCTATTTTTGAATTATCGAGCATGAGTATCTAATCGCCGGCTTCCAAATATTAACTCGCTCACTAAATCTCTTACACATTATAACCACCAAGTTAGAAAGGTTCTTTTTTAAAATTTATTTTGAACACTGGCACAGAGGCGTAGCACCCGGTTCCTGCGCCCGGGGCGAACTATACATTTTTGCGCTCCTCTCTCCCATTCTATTTATAGTTATTCCTATGAAAAATCGTCCGTCCCGTCCCTCCTTTTTAAAAAAATATATAGCGCCCCCCCCCCCCCCCAAAGTAAATAAAAAAATAAAATTGGAAAGGTTTGTGGAGCTTCTTACCAGTTACTATCCAATTAGATTTTCTATGTCGGTGCCACAAAATTGATATAGAAAACAGTTAAATCAATGTGAAAAGCCTTGAAGTCGTTTATTTTTTCGTAACTTTTACTGCATATAATGTAATACTTCATCTTAAAGTGAATTTAAAAGCTTATTATTATAAAGGGTTTTCAAATATGTTCTTTATTAACACTCTAAGCGCCAAAACATGGCAACTCTGTAGACCATGAAGTTGATTAACTCTTTATGGACTACATCGTATACCCGTACTGTGCTATGTATGGGCCTGTGACATGTGTGGGGGACGTCTTGTCCCACGGGGTAAGATTAACTATAATTGATCCACCAGCCAAATGACTTAGTTCTAAGTGGAAGTGTTTTTCAGAGTTACCCGACAGTATTTAGCTAATAATATTATTTTGTTGAGCCCAATTTGTAAGAATGGGTTATGTCTTATTTTTAGATTGCAGAAAAAAAGGTCTGTATGATCAATCTATTCTTCCACAAACGATATATCCAGGTCAAACATGTTCTTATACAACCGAGAGCTACAACAAGTTTTTATAAAAACGGGGGCTACAACACGTTTTTATACAAACGAGGGCTACACCATGTTCTTATACAAACTAGGGCTATAACATGTTCCCATTCAAACTAGGGCTACAACATGTTCCCATTCAAACTAGGGCTACAGCATGTTCTTATACAAACGAGGGCTACAAAATGTTTTTATACAAACGAGGGCTACACCATGTTCTTATACAAACTAGGGCTATAACATGTTCCCATTCAAACTAGGGCTACAGCATGTTCCCATTCAAACTAGGGCTACAGCATGTTCCCATTCAAACTAGGGCTACAACATGTTCCCATTCAAACGAGGGCTACAACATGTTCCCATTCAAACGAGGGCTACAACATGTTCCCATTCAAACGAGGGCTACAACATGTTCCCATTCAAACTAGGGCTATAACATGTTCCCATTCAAACGAGGGCTACAACACGTTCTTATACAAATGAGGGCTACAAACTGTTCTTATACAAACGAGGGCTACAACATGTTCCTATACAAACTAGGGCTACAACACGTTTTTATACAAACGAGGGCTACAACATCTTATACAAACGAGGCTACAACACGTTTTTAAACAAACGCAGGCTACAACATCTTCACATACAAACGAGGGCTACAAGTCAAACATGTACTTATACTATAGTATAGTCCAAAATGGGTTAATCGATTTCATTATTAACACTGTAGCCCTATGTTGACGCTTAGAATGTTTATAAAACAGATATTTTTAAAAAAATTATAACCATGATTGAACACATATGACACAAAACATGTTTTGCTAATAATATCTTTAATTTTTCATATCTTTTTTTTCTACAGAAAAAATAATACCTGTGGGTGTTGTTTTTCTATTAATAATTATAAATTTATGAACCGTAAAAGCTATACATTTTATACATTTTAATTTAAATTTTCATAAAATATTTTTAAAATATACGTTTCGTTTTAGTTGAATACTAAATCCAACTAAAACGAAACGAATAGTTTATTATTTTGTACTTATCCAGTTTGGTTGCTTAACTAATCTTTGGGAAAAGTAAAGATACAAATGTCTATTATTAAGTAAACAAAAAAACAAAATAGGTTAAAAGTTAAAAAAATAAAATAAAAAATTTCAGTCGTTAATACGCTGTTAGAGCTTGAAGAGTTTCACTAGAAGAAAAAAAAACGTTAATTTTTTTTAACCCTTTCTCTGAGCCAATTTGATTGGCCCCAATGTGACTCTCTCCCCTCATTGAAGGAAACCCCATAGGGTTAATTGTAGCAGCGAGTAGGGCTTCCATGGGATTGATCCATTTCCGGTTTAGTAAAGGGAGTGACTCGACTCTGTTCTTTGGGTAGGGATGAAAGCAATGTTGTAAAACAAAAGTTATGTAACACTTTTTTATAAAGAACGTAGAAGAAGTTATGGAAACTGAACACACCACGGTAATACAATTTAGTGTATACCACCTCACCAATTAATGTTTTATTTTAAGATGTTGTGGGTATCCTTGAAATAGAATAATAAAGACATAATATATTATTAAATTGTGTAGATCTAAAATGTCCTTTAAATAGATTGTAAAAATAACATTCCTTTAGATTTTTAATGTATATTTTATTGTCAAACGTAAATATAGTAAACTATATAATTTTTTGTCAAAGAATTTCTTTTTTAGCAGTTATCTCAACTTGTTTGATTTACACGATCATCTCCCCTTTATTCCAGCGGTGTTTTGCTACTCTGATATTTGTAGGTCTGTTCCCAGGAGTGTTGCTTCCAGACTTTTTTCTCGAGGGGTGGGGGGGTGGGGGGCATTTGATATTTAATGGGGGGGGGGGCGGACATTGTCTTCTTCTTTAGTGTTGGATTGAGCCTTATCTACAAGAGGGTTGAACTCCAGACTTTTTCGAATTTATCAACCATGACTCGACCACGCCTCCATCACAATTAAGGATACGTGTCAACTGGTTATGCCATTGAGGCCGTTGACTCCGATTTCAGCCTGCTTTTCTTTTTGGATTTGCTTCCATAGCCTTTGTTCAACCAGATCAAACTACAAGGCAGCAGTTATTTGATTTTGGAGTTGCCTCTCCTAGAAGAGTGGCTGTCGAGCCTCATCTGCCCGAGGGTTCGACCTCGAGACTTTTCGGTTTAGCAACCATGAGCTTTACCGACTCGGCCACGCCGACCCCTGGGTTAAAAGTATATATTTTCTATATAAATTCTATTTCGTTCGGGTGTCGATAGACTCCCCCCCCCTCCCCGAGAGATGCCTTGAAGAAACTCTGAATCTCTGTACACCCAAGACTGAGTAGGCAGCCTGAGCCCTTGAAATTATGTCCATATGATCATACTCTAAAACTGGTTTTAACTCTTAAAAGCTCCGCTACTGTCTCATATTTTGTTCGTTAGAATATTTTCTAATCAATTTCACAAAAATCTACGGCTATAGGCCATAACCCCCCCCCCCCCCCTCACCCCCTTTTCCACCCATTGTAGGCTTTGGTCTACTTTTAACGCAATTTTTAAATAATCAACTACATTTTGGGCTATTTCGTCGACACTTTTTGTGTTTGTTTTTTTTTTATTTTGTTTTACGAATACATAAAGTCGAAACATTAAAAAAAAGTTATTTTTAAAAACTGCTTTCATATTCCCAAACAAGTTTTTGTTTTCGTTATACTAACGAAGACTTGTGTTGAAAATTCCGTGTGTTTTCAAAAATAATAGACACTAATACTTGAGCCTTTCCCTTAAGATGGTATAACATTAGTACCAGCAACTCATAGAACACACGTTCAATAAATCCCCATTCTTCCTCGCCACAGTTTGACAACATGGAACTATTTTTTCACGAAACTCTCCGCCGTAACCCTGTTATCCAGCTAAACATTGTTTGGGCGGAGGTATTTTTTGCGTGTGTGCGTGTTGGCTGCGACTGACGTCACGTCCTCTTGTCGCGACATAATGCGCCCCTAATGATGCTCAGTTTTCGCTTTATGTCCTTTATCACGGAAAAGGCACACAAGTCGTGCGGTGCTATTCGACGACTTCACGATATTTTTTTTTAAAGTCACCCCAAACTGACTTCAATAGTGCGACCATTAGGGGCTTTAAAATAAACCCATAGAATTCTGGGTAGCTCATTATTTAAATAAAAAACATTTTTAAAAGCTTTAGAAATACCAGAGGCGTAGCGACCCTTCCCGGCGCCCGGGGACAAACTTTTCGATTT